TATTGAACCTACTAGTTGGATATAGTTCTTCTTGACATGTGATCTACTCCATTCTGCTTCGGCACCATTTTCTGTAGCATAAGCAGTCTAGGTCACTAAGGTGGACATACTTTGTTACTGATGAATCTCAAGTAGATGAGGTACCTCCGCATTGGTCGCATGATCAGTAAAACAATCTTTGACTAATGATCTGCTTGACCACGATCTTTATGTGTAAGGCAATTCATGGTGAGATGAGAGGAGAAAGTAAGTCCTTGTGATTCTTGACATGATTCTTCTTGGAGCAAAAGTAAGTCCTTTTGATGTTTAGCTCTTGTCAACGTATTACTCTATGCTTAATTAAGAAAGAAGAACAATAAAACATCATTTATGTTTTCCCTCTTTTGTTCCTTGAGTCAAATGTAAAGCGAGTGACATTTACTGCAATTGGTTTATAGTAGTCATCTTATAGGCACAGTTTCTTCCACGTCGAGCAGGATTCCGTTTCTAAAGTAATTGCATGATGTACTCCAAGTTACTTTCATTATTTATTATTTGGCATTTAATATTCTATCAAAATTTTACAGTAAAAACTGCAAGCGTTAACCATTTAGTAGGTGTAATGTCCAATTTCTTGGATTTAATTTTTAGTCAATCAAAGTTGTTTGAATGTCTCAGCACTTGCGTTAGTTTCAACTTATGAGTTAGTCACTTTTTATTTACTTCACTCTTGGGCAGCTGGCTATTTTGGACGGTGTCACTATGGCAAGTGGAGCTGGGGATTTCTCTACCTGGAATGTTTCGATTAGCAACTGATAAAACTGTATGTGACTTTTCCTTAATACTGATATAGATGTTAACTGCTTTCGTATATGTGCTTGTTGAGGTTGTGTTTATTCAACTTCCTTTGGCAACATTTAATTTAATGTTGGGATTTCTCTCCAAATCACAAAGCACTTGTGGTTTACTCAATCTTATGATCTAGTTTTTGGTATTTATCGACAATGGTTTGGCAACAAATGCATGAAATTTTCATAGTCCGTCTTTTTGGGACTAAGTTAAATCTGGCAGAACCACTGCAGATCTAATGTGAGGCCGTGATCCTCACCCAGATCTGTTGCAAGGGCTGTGGCCCTTGCCGCTGTGTGCCGAGGGGCGGCCGAGGAGCAGGACTGCTTTTCCCTCGTATCTCTCTCACCGGGTGTGTGCCTCTGTGATTGATGGGGGCTGCACCATGCCTAAGCTCTGTGAAGGTCTGGCCTTTGTCACCTGAGCCTGGGAGGGTCTGGCCACCCTTGCCGGTGGCTGTCGGTGCGTGACTGCCCTCTATTTGCCAGAGCAACCTGAAGATGGTTTTCCTTTTTTTCTTTTCCCAATTTTTTTTCTGGAACCACTACTTTATTTTTATCTTTATTTTTATGTTTTTTAACTGTGTAATAGCCACGTGGACCCTACGTGGCTGTGTAGATGCCAAGGTGGCATGTTTCAGCCTTGTTACAGCTACTTCACCATTTTTGTTTAGTTTTTTAATGGAAGGACTAACTTGAACAAACAAACATATAATGCACCTGGTTTCGTATTTCTGCAGCAATTCCGCAAAGTAAATGCTTGAGCTAATGCTTCCAATTGCAGGTTTTTTCTCATCCAGAGGTTCAAATAGGATTTCATCCAGATGCAGGAGCTTCCTTCCACCTTTCCCGTTTACCTGGCTATCTAGGTACATTGTCTCTGCAAACAAAAGGGAGGTCTTGGCTAAACCGTGTAATGAAATAAGGAGATCATTCACCAAATTTAAAATAGGCCAGAAGGGTCGGATAACATTTAAGCCTCAAAATGTTCTGTTGGTGTCTGTAAACTAGAAGTTCTTCGCAAATGTAATCTTTACCGCATGCGCGAATGTTTTTCTGTATCCATTAGTTCTGTTTTGGCATGCAGAAATTAGTTTGAAGACCATCCTATGCATTGCGCTAAAGGGAAGCCTTTGTTTGCAATATACTTAATTATTGAAACCTCGGAGATCATATTGATGTTTTGTCCTTCTGTTTGTAATGAAAAGCTTATATAGTTTCCACAGTATTTTCTTTGCACGGTTTACTACTCTTCCTCTTTCAATCCCAATTTGTCGATAACTAGCGTTGGGATTCTGTCTTAGAATGTTTAGCCTTATTCTTCCAGGGGAATACCTGGCACTTACGGGGATAAGCTTAATGGTGTGGAAATGGCTGCCTGCCACTTGGCTACTCACTATTCACTAAATGCGGTTTGTTTTCAATGCCCCTTTGACTGCTGCTTCAGTGTTTTTACACTACATAGCTTGATAATCTATTCTGAGTTATAATTAATGACCTTGACAGAGATTAGCTTTGATCGAAGAGCGTCTTGGTAGACTGACTACCGATGATCCATCTGTTATAGAGACATCCCTTTCACAATATGGTGATCTTGTTTATCCCGACAGGAGGAGTACCATTCATAAGTAATGTTCAACTTTAGTCTACAGCTTCTGGAATCTTTGCAGCATGGTTTTCTTTACATTTATCCTCCTCTGTGTGGATGACTGCATGCTTTTGGATCAATGCGGTATAACTTCACGTTATACATCTGTCTAGGGAACACACTAGAGAAGTTTGTGATGTAGCTAATAAATGATGTACATTGTGAGTAGATTGCGTTCTACCACACATAACCTTTTGTATGCACTGGCTATTTTCACACTTTTCTGGGGTTGATTCTGTTTTATCCAAACCCGAGGAGAACTATGAATCAGTCATTCTAAACACTTAAAATATACATGATAAGTTATTAGTTATGACATATGATCAGTTGTTGTGCACATTAGAACTGTGCAGGGCACAAGTAAATATTCCAGATAGCATAGTGATTGCTCCTTTTATGGAAAAAAGTTTCTTCCTTCTCTGTGCAAGTATATTCGTTCATGCGTTTATTAAAGAATGAACCTGCATATTTTGTTTTGCTTACTGCCAGCAATTCTTTTGCTCTCTAATCTCTTAAGTTTTATTTCTTGCATTTATTGAAGTGTGTATTGAATAATTTTTTAAATGGGGTATCTTTTTCTTGTTCTCTTACAATATTTTAGTGTTGACTCGGGATTGATGTGATTGATAAATGCTTTAGCCATGACACAGTCGAGGAAATTATACATGCACTGGTAAGTTGGTTGGTGCACCCTGAAAAGGACTCTTATGTTTATTGTTGGAAAGTCCATAATGCTTGACATCACACTGGTTTTTGAGATGGTTTGACCGATGTTTAATTTTGCCAGATGCATGATGTTAGAATTGGCACTGATCAACTGAGAAATGCAATGAGTCAGCATAGATAGTATCCTAGATGTTCTTTTATTAGCATCTTATTAAATTGGTGTTGCTTAGGAAATTGAAGAAGCTGACTCTTATGGTGAATGGTGTGCAATGACCCTCAAGAAACTAAGGGAAGCTTCTCCATTGAGCTTAAAAGTCACCTTAAGATCAGTGAGTGACCATTCTTTTGATTTTTTTGTTGGACGTAGATTCCTTCTCCAGACATTGAGTTGGTTATAATTATTACTTTTCAGATTTGCGAAGGCAGATTCCAGACTCTTGATCAATGTTTAACTCGGGAATACCGTATATCCCTTCGTGGAATCTCTGGAGAAGTTTCCAAAGACTTTGGTGAGATATGAAAATCTTCAACATCTACTGCAATTGTATGATTGAATCTTGTGGTATTTTTTTTTCTCTCCTTATCGACAGATGATTGTACTCTTTGCCATATGTGGGTTTGCAAAGATATAGTTTATGTTCTGATTAATAATCCTCTTCGCCATCTGTAGGGTGTTCGGGCACGGTTAGTGGATAAGGACTTCGCTCCAAAGGTAAAATTAAGTCCCAATTTTTCCAACCTTACACATTTTCTCAACTTACATGACAGAAATCATTGTGGGTTTTTCCAATAATGTGCAGTGGGATCCTCCAAGTTTGGAAGAAGTAACCAAGGATATGGTCAACTTTTGTGTCTCCCCACTTGTATCCAAGCCTGAGCTAGAACTACCCATTGGCTCGCGAGAACCCTCTGCATGACATGTATGAATGCTGATGAGTTTTCACCATCTTCTGTTTTGTTGGTTAGGTATTAAACTGTGTGATTTAATTTTATCTCGCATACCCTCGACAGTTCAAGATCTGCTAATCATGTTTTCCTTGTATGCGAAATCTTTCTCCCAAAAATTCCACACAGACAAAGCACCAGCACAATAAGATGAAAAAGCAACTGTACCATAATCACCAGCTTTCTCTCTGGTTTGTTGGTTATTTGTTTATGCACTGCTAGTCTTTCTCAATGTTGCTTGGATATTTTGAAATTACACTCCAACAGAGCATTTTAGTGCAATGTTCTTCTTCGCTGCTTCATTAAAGCTGGAGCAGAGACAATTTCATGTAGTTTTCGACAATGAAATCGAAAGGCATAACTATGAGGCGACTTCCATATATATAAAGGGCAGAGCCCCGGGAATAGGATCCAAAATTACCAAAAACAGCAAATCCTTCAAGCATAGTGAAATGCTAAAATTACTATGTCAATATGACCTTCACAGATTCTAGAATCTACATGGTTGGTGGAGGGAAATTCATTCGAATTAGTCTTGCAGATAGGTCTTAATTTCCTTTTGAAAAAGGTTTCAAACCTGTACAAAAATTTGTATAGTTGGTGGGGAGAAATACATCCAAACCTGCAAAATTCAGCTAGAATTAATATGTTCAATGCGCTTTTATCTGTATGACATAAAAGTAGGTTAGTTACAATTATAACAACAGTGATTTCATGAGTTTGGATCTTCCTATTTTGGTAAGTTGTTCTTGGTTCCCAAGTGGGAATGAGAAACAAGCCGAGAGAAAGCTCGATATCAGGATGCTTAGAACTCGTGGCCACAAGTGAAATCCTTTCTCTGGCTTGCTTGCTACGATCAAACAATTCATGAGCAATAAAGCAAATATCGAAGGACTACCAGATTATCAACTCTAGAGAAAGGATTCCCTTATCAATAAAAAGTGCATACTAGATGATGAAACTTTTATTACAAAATGCACCAAGTCCATTTTTAGAAACTCGCTGCCTCCAATATCAAGCAACTTCTATTAAACCTTGGCCAATGAATGTTTATAGAGATTACTGCCAACCAGCCACCTAATCATTGCCTGACAATGCCAACACCAATTAGCAGCCTGTCAGTGTGTCCGTTGGTTTATCACATGCCGACCAAGATTGAAGAAATTGCTATGCAATCTGAGTTCTTGTTTCTGGAACATTCAGTCCCTCAACTGCTGTTGCCTTTGAGTTTGATCAAGAGGAGTCTGAAAGTTATCTTTTGAAGCCATCACTTGGCTCTTCAATCAACCAAATGACGAGACTTGACTAAGCCTTCCATGTCCACGAATTCCGAATTAACCTTAATGCTTTTTCCATTTCAAACTCCAAAGAATTCAGCTTAACTACTAGGAAAGATTGCTGTCGCAGATACATTCCAATATGCTCACTAAGCATGTCTTGAACCGATCACAAAATGTTCTTGGTGGAGCAAGTTCGTCAAGACCTGCAAAAACAGGTTGTAAGTTCAATATGCACATCTTTAGTCTGTGACTTGATAATAGTATATATCGAAACATAGACAATAGTGGTGATATACTTAAAGGGTTCGAGTCTTGCTCCGTCGTCTGATTTTGCTTTCCAAGTTTGTCAAGACCTGCAAAAATAGGTAGTCATTGAGTTCAATATATACCTCTTCAGTCTGTGACTTTATAACAGTAGATCAAAACATAGACAATAGTGGTGATATACGTAAAGAGTTCAAGTCTTGCTCCATCGTTTGATTTTGCTTTCCACGTTCATCAAGACCTACAAAAACAGGTTGGTGATTAAGTACAATATATACCTCTTCAATCATTGACTTGATGACAGTAGATCAAAACATAGACAATAGTGGTGATATACTTAAAAGAGTTCGAGTCTTGCTCCGTCGTCTGATTTTGTTTTCCACGTTCGTCAAGACCTGCAAAAACAGGCTGTGATTAAGTTCAATATATACCTCTTCAATCTATGACTTGATAACACTAGATCGAAATATAGACAATAGTGGTCATATACTCAAAGGGTTCGACTCTTGCTCCATCGTCTGATTTTGATTTCCAGGCGGAGTCCCTTCTTTGACATTGTCAATGGGAGGCTCTGCGCTAATTTCATGATCCGAAAAACTTGCAGATGAAAAAGACTGAAGCTCAAGCTCATCGGGCTCTTTGGCATCCCAATCCATTTTAGCCTCCTCCTACATGAAAAATAAGATTTTCTTTAGCCAGTATTCTAGGTGAGAAAATGCAGTTGTCATCAAATAAATCTTTTTCTTAACATTGGTTTTGCTATTTTCACAAACAAGGGTACAACAAACTCATGGCTCCTATGTGCAAGACATCACGAGTCTATATACTGCTGAATGATGATGATTCAGTAGTCCATGTAGTGTAAAATCTTCCATTTTCTTCCTTCAAAGTCGGTTTTTCTTTTCCAAATTAAGTTCCTCTACGAAGCACCTTATGACCCTCCATATCCCTCAGAATGTCCAGAAGTGAAAATCTCTTAACCTTGAATTTCTTACACTCAGTTGACCGAACTTGAATGTATTTATGAAAGAAGTGTTGACACCTAAATTTTGATTAACCATTTAGTGATTAATTGCATAGAAAATTAGGATTAAATTTTAACCCCTAAACAAAAATATCAAAATCGCATAGCATATAGTTTAGGATCATATAGTTTAATTGCATTCCACATCGGACCGGCAGTGGCGAGTAAGCTGAAAATCCGTCACATAAACCAAGCTTGAGCGTCGAGTGAAACTCGGCTCACTCAAGGGATTGGGGGCCGAAATTCACAAGTCTAAAAGGCTTTGGTTGTTTTAATTTGAGCTTAAATCAGCCCGAATTAATTTAGCCCATTTGGAATTAAAATTAAATTAAATGATAAAGCCTAAGTCTAAGCCCATTAGGACTAGGAAGCCCGGTTAATTAACTTAGGGTTGCGATATAAATATGTCGTTATGCGTCATAATCAAGGGGACTCTCACAATTTTCAAAGACAGAATTCTATGAGAGTACGAGGCCACACAATGTCATACACGACCACAAAAAAGTGAGAAAGAAAAATCAGAGAGAGAGAGATTGTTTCTGTTCTTTTCTGCCTGAGGCTCAACTCACGTCAAGGTGGAGAGCAAAAGCTCTCCAAAGGAGAAAACGCCAAAAAGGGGAGAAGGAGAAGAGTTTTCCGGATCTTTTCTGCAGGTCACAGGAACACACCCAAATCAGAAAGTTCAGCATTTCCGTGGGTCCTTGTCGCTTGCGCAAGACCACTCCTTGACCGTCGTTAAGCTATTTCGACGAATTCCTAGTTCCCGGTCAACACACGAGCGACGCAACGGTGGCGGTCCAGCAAACTTTAAGCCCAATTCGGTACACTCTTGATATTCTTGCAGATTTCTCAGTGAGTTTTCGACACAATTTGTCCCTGCTCGTGACCAACACCACCGCTGGTCGTTACTGCTTCGAAGATTTTGCTACCTAACCGACGTTGACGCGCTGCCGCCACCGCCTGAATCACCGTCATCATATTTCAGAGATAGCGAGACTCTTACGGAGTTCCATCTAGCCCGACGGATTCGTCGACGCCCAGTTCGACCAGAATCTCTCTACCATCGTGAACATCACGTCAGCTTTTGCGGCTACCGCTTGCAAGCCTAAAGTCTAAGCCACGTCTCTCGTTGCCCCGAAGTCCACAGTCAGAAAGAGTTACCAAGATTTCAGTGAAATAATTCTAAGTGGTGGATTTGTCTTCTTTTGGGTGTTGTCCAGAAGTGATGATAACGTGTGGCCTTTTGTGAGTTTATTTCATGCAAGCTTCCTGGCAAGGAGAACGCGAAGAGTTTAGGTCTGTAGTGAAGTGCATATTTCAGAAAAGAAAATAGCCAACGCTGCCTTGTCGAGAAACCAGCCCCACAACATGAGCAGAATCACCACCGAGAGCAACACCAGCTGGTCCTTCCGTGACTAAGTGGCTATCACTAAGCATCAGCGACGGTGCTTGCTCATCAAGACCCTTGATCCGCCCGTCGCCCGCCCATCTACCGCCGGTCGTCCGATCCGCAATCCTGATTCGCCGGTGATTCAAATTTGGAAAGTAATCAACAAATCAGGTAAAAATCTCTATCCGATATATGTTCAAAATATTTAGATTCCTAGTTTGAATATTTTGAATATTCCGTGAATATTGCGTAGATTGCTAGATATCTTAGGATGATGTGTGCTATATCCGCAATATTCGAAAATACCCAAAATTAGGAATCATTCCTAATTTGGCAACGTATCTGGACGACTATCCGACCTTATCCCCAAGGTACGATACGCGGCGATACGGTAAATCGTTATCTTATCCATAATCACTTGGATACGATAATAGATTTTATTTATTTTCCAAATTTAAACAATCAACTTTTTGTCGATATCTATAACCCTATAGATATGACCGTTAGTTTGATTTATTTGCCTTATCTGAATTTGAAGAATCTTACGGATTGCATAGATTGTTTGAATGTGATTGTTATCTTCGTTTGATTGTTTTCCTTTTAAATAAAGAGAATCCAAAAATTTGTTAGTTAGATTTAAATTAGAAATTTTGCATGCTTAAGGAATCCTTAATATATCTAAAAGAATAAGATAATTATTTGATTTAAATTGGGATCTAGGGTTGCATATTTCCTAGTTTAAATTAGAGATTATTTTAATCTTAATGGATTATTTAGGATATTCAATAATTTCGAATTTTAATAAAAATCCCAAAAAAAGAATCACTTTAGGATAGATCAAATCATTTTCTCTAGGATAGATTGCATGTTGATTTGAGTATTTTTAATTCCGAAATTTCATTGAAAAAATACCAAAAATAAATCATTTGTCCGTCATTAGAATTAGGTCACGTCGTCGCATGACATATAGTTTGCATGTTAGGCTGCATTAATCGCATGTTAATTTTTGCACGTCATTACATATATGTTAGCTTTCATTTAAATAAGTGAAAATCCTAAAAAAATATTGAGTGAACTGCTTGTTAATTAGAAATCGTATTAGGATTGTCTGTATGATTTTCTACTAACAATGCAGATGTTTGCGTTGCATTAAGGTACGTCACTCTCCTAATCTTGCAATTTAGTTATTGCTTTCTTGGGTGTTAAATTAGTGGTTTGCGCACCCGCATGAACACCTCACATGTTAGTGATTAGGTAATAAAATGGATCCAGACTGCCTGCATAAATATTTTTGAAAAGACAAGGTACCGAAAGGGCGTTAGACTAGATCTAGCGTAACCAAGTCCCCGAGCTTAGAATCTCTGGTTCGTAGGAATAAAACATATCTCCCTATGTTTTATTTAGGTTTCTAATCGACCTACCACAAATAGATTAGTGGCGACTCCAAGCATGAAAACTTTTGAATGTTAAAAACTTAGACCCTAAGTTACGAATTGGTAGGGCTTGGGAGGGCCCGAGTTAAGCTTAGTCTTAATAATTCATTAGCCTGAGAAATTTAGGTCGCGACAGCTTGGCGACTCCGCTGGGGATTAGAGTTAAAACTCGTAGTGGACTTAGGCCAGTTTTTCTTTTCAAAAAATATTTTTGTTTGGCAGCGAGGATCCCAAGTATGTCCCTAACATTTTAGGTGTTAAATGTTTTTGCAGAATGGGAGGTATAAGGGGAGGAGTGATTGTTAACTCTTGTTTTGCAGGGAGGTGTTTGGATGTATGTTTTATTTTATGCACGAAGCGCTGTATGATATAACTTGCTTTGCATGCCTTGCATTTACACTACACCGCACACACTACCCGTTGCCGGACCTGGGCGGCATAGGTTTAGGATGGTACTGAGACAGCGGACACCTCGACCACACCCGCGTGGTACGGGTCGCCCTCCTTAGTCCCGAAAGTTCTTTCACGGTGTCATTGAGTTCCCACCACGGTTGCACCCTTTGCAACCCAGGTCGGCTCCTTGACTAAGCCGGAGTCAGGGGAACCCCGGCCTAACCACTACCATGACTGGTTTAGCCCGGTAATCCTCGCGTCTCCACTTTGCAAGCCAGAGTCTAGATAGATATCGAATCTCACATTTCATGCACATGTCTATGTGATTGCCATGGTCCTATCAGGTGAAGTAAGTCTTCTGAACTTTTATCTTGTAGTTTACTTATTTTCTTGTATTTTTTTTTTGGGTCGGTCCATGACAGGTCTAGGTGGGTTTTTAATTTAAAAGTAATAATCATTGAGTACTTTGAAAATAAAAAAAGAAAGAAAGAAAGCTTGTTTAGAGAATTTATTTTCAATCTATGTCTTTATTTTCCTAGATATGTCATAGGTAATTATTTTCTTAAGAAGCTTGCCGTCGTCTTTCTTTTACCAAAAAAAAAAGATTTAGAGAATTTGTTTTTAGTTTATAGTTTCTAGCGAGTCTTAATATTTAGTTTTCCTAGTTTTATGATTAGGGATTTCGATGCGTCTATTTCCTAGGTTGTGTCTAGAGTGTTATTTATATTTCTTTGCTTAGAGCACTTTTCCATAAAGTCTCGTTCATATACGAGTATTTTTTTATGAATAAACAAAGAATGAAAAAAACTAGAAAGCGTGTCATGGACCAACCTTGTCTTGACCATGTGGTTATTTGGTTCATTTCTCTTGAATTAGGTGACTACGGATCATCCACAGTTATCGATCCATCGCTCGAGCCTCGCCAAGGGGCAACCTCGCCGAGTTCCTTCGTTGTTGCTCCTCCGCCACCGTGAGCTCACCGCCCAACACAAACCGCAGCTCCATCCACCACTTGCCGTTCTCGCGGCGACTGCAGCTTCTCTGCATAAACGCCGTCCTTGTCTTTGTTTCTCGGAGCCCCATACGTCGGCCAACCGCCAAGCCGAAACGCCCCTAGCTGTGAGCCACCACCGCGAGGAAGTTGATACTCAAGCTAAGTGATTATGGATCGTCGACCACCGGCCGTTCCCGCCTGGCCATGAGAGAAAGTGCTCAGAGTGAAGTGCCGAACCGCCTCGCTAATATCGAGAAGGACCTGAAGCAGGCCTCTGTCATTCTCCAACAACTCTCGAGGCAAACGGCACATCTGTCGAATTGCTTGAAACAACTCACCATGACTCGTCCCTTTCCTCAAGGGCCAATGGTGATGATTCAAACGAAGCCCTTCAGCATCGACCCAAAGGACAAAGCAGTCGTACCTGGCAATACTATTGAGTCCCCTTATCCTAGGGAGTTGAGCACCCTGCGTCCAAAGTTTGTAAAGCACGAACAAGGTAATCAGGGTCCACTCGTTCCAACATCGCGCCCCCAGCAAAGCAAAGCAAAGCACGACTACTTCGTGGATGTCAAGACAGCCTACCGAGACACCCGTTCTCTAATCGACGACAAGGCGCTAGAAGACAATTCACTTCTATCCCCGGGTCTCTATCCCATGTATTGACGATCCTCCGAGAAAAGGGTTTGCTTTCCACTGAGCCGAAGCGGCCTAATCTTGAGCGGTTCTCCAACTACGACCCATCCAAAAAGTGTGACTATCACCTGGGAGAAGTCGGTCAC